AATTGTGTGGTATCCAGAGGCGGATGATAAAAAAGAATTCATGCATACGGATAGCTTAGAATAAGAGCCTTCGATCTATCTTTGTTTCCGATAACATCTAAGGCTCCGTGCTAAGTCAAAGAGATGAGCCTTTATTGAGCGTCACCTCTGCTAACTTGAACAACTTCTGAAGGATGTAATTTGCAGCGCCGCATGCGGATTTGAGGCCCGGTGCGCCGATTCCACCAAAAAGAACTCTAAAGGAAGGCAGCGACAAAGTGAAGCTTGTAAGCGGTGATCAAGTTACAGACGTGTAAATTTTGCAGCTACATGTCATTCTTTACTGGGCACGTGCAGACTGTGATAAAATAACGATTCAGACTTTTCCACTAAAAGTCATTTTTGTGCGCTTTTGCATTTTGTGCAAGTCCAAAAACGCATATTATCGAGAGATTCTCTCCTCTCTCTACGTATGTGTGTGTGTGTCTGTTCGAAGGCAAGTGAACTGTGTCACTGTCATCCACTTTCAATTCATATACATGGGAATCCGAGCGGCTGAAATTATAGCAGCGTATTTCTACACGTGTCCCGCCCTCCCCTTATATCAACTCTCATGCATGCTTAGTTCTCATGTATAGGATCCTGAAAAAAATATATATATAAATTTTCTAGCGGGGAATAATTCTGGGAGCCGGTAAAAACAGGAAGCTTGGTATTCGTGGGCATATTTTTTGCCTATGTATGAGTTGAGGATTTCAAATTTAGCTTTCACAAGCGTGCATGATACAGTCATAAAAGTTCACAACTAGCAAATATGTCAGGGAAAAACCAGTCGGAAAAAAATAGCTGTAATCCTTTGGGAATATTTACTGCTCATCTGGGAAATCGTACGTTTAAATGGAGTTTTGAACTGCACTTGACTTAAAGCATGCCAAAAACATTTGTAGTGAAGTGGCGATTTTCAGCTTATCCGATGCCCCAAATCGGGTTTGCAAGGAAGTTGGATTTCTCTTTCGTTTTTCTTACTTTTGCTTTCTTGGTTCACGCTTTTAAAATTGCTCAAATATTTGATGAGTACGACAAGCCGCGCAGTGCCCGGTTAAGCTGTGCGAGTGCAAGCTGCTTTTTTTAATTTGTTATTGGATTAGTACCTGTGCAATTATAGTTGCAGGGGTTGATTTTTCTAAGCGATATTTAAACAAGTCGGGGATTTTACATTCCCAGGAAAAATGCCCCCTTTTAACTTTCTTTGCTCTTTTGATTCGTTTTTTTTGCATGCATATTTCTTACGGGCTGCATATTACCTTTAGAGTGAAGTGCGCTTAAAATTG